AAAATAAACAAAGGGGAATAATTCTAAAATTAGGCAAGTCAGAGTTACGGTTCTTGTGCACTGCACACCTACTCTATGAAATCTTTCTACCTACAAAATTTCATGTTGATACCACTTATAGTTTTAGAGTTATGTCCCGGACAAAGTTCAAAGTGTCAAAATGAACAAAGGGCAATAACTCCAAAAGTAGGCAAGACAGTGTTACAGTTCTTGTGCACTGCAAACCTACTTAATGAGATCTATCTACCTACAAAGTTTCATGTTGATACCTCTTATAGTTTTACAGTCATGTCTTGGAAAAAGTTCAAAGTGTCAAAATAAACAAAGGGGAATAATTCTAAAATTAGGCAAGTCAGAGTTACGGTTCTTGTGCACTGCACACCTACTCTATGAAATCTTTCTACCTACAAAATTTCATGTTGATACCACTTATAGTTTTAGAGTTATGTCCCGGACAAAGTTCAAAGTGTAAAAATAAACAAAGGGGGATAATTCAAAACTTAGGCAAGGCAGAGTTACGGTTCTTGTGCACTGCTTACCTACTCAATGAGATCTATCTACCTACAAAGTTTCATGTTGATACCTCTTATACTTTTAGAGTTATGTCCCGGACAAAGTTCAAAGTGTAAAAATAAACAAAGGGGAATAATTCAAAAATTAGGCAAGGCAGAGTAACGGTTCTTGTGCACTGCACACCTACTCAATGAGATCTATCTACCTACAAAGTTTCATGTTGATATCTCTTGTTGTTTCAAAGTTATGTCCCGGACAAGAAAAGGGGACGGACAGACGGAAAGCCGGACGGACGGACAAGGTGGCGACTATATGCTCCCCCGAAATTTTTTCGGGGAGCATAATTATTGACAAGCCAATAAGTTGTATAAATGGCACTTTTACAGGCTGGTGAAGAAGGGGCATCCTTGTACTATAGCACATGTCAAGTTAATTATGGAAATTCACATAAATGGTGTAATCTGATTGGTTATTTATCTCTCGGCCACGACTTGGCTATCTTGTGGCCACGACTTAGTAACTCGTGGCCATGACATAGTATCTCGTGGCCACGACTTAGCTATCTCGTGGCCACGACTTAGTAACTCGTGGCCACGACATAGTATCTCGTGGCCACAACTTAGCTATCCCGTGGCCACAACTTAGTAACTCGTGGCCACAACATAGTATCTCATGGTCACGACTTAGCTATCCCGTGGCCACGACTTAGTAACTTGTGGCCACAACGTAGTATCTCGTGGCCACGACATAGCTATCTTGTGGCCACAACTTAGTAACTTGTGGCCACGACATAGTATCTCGTGGCCACGACTTAGCTATCTTGTGGCCACGACATAGTATCTCGTGGCCACGAGATAAATAAAAACACACACATGTCACCTTTGTGCCACTGTATGAATGACCAAAATCCCCTCTTAGTTATGTGTATGAAACTAGAACTGACAGTGCCAGGTAGCAGACTTATAATTTTAATATTATTATGTGAATAATGTTTAATGAATTTGATATTGTATCTATTATTAAGTAATGACCATAATGTACACAATATGACTTTTCCAGCTTGTAGGCATACATGTAGAAATTGGGTGTAATTTACACTATTTGTTATTAGTGTTTTCTATTAATTAACCTAGAAATGAGTTAGGTCATGCAGATGTTACTTGTATATGCTAAAATACATTATATTATCAGGAAATGATATTTCATTTATATCATGTTATATTATTGGCCTCGCCCATTTATATTAGTACGTAACATGTTAAAAGATAGGTAAAAAGTGATGAAAGCTGATCTAAGCTCTAGTGGTTACACAATGCACTAGTTATCCAGTGGTTGCAGGTGTGATCCTCAGCTTCACCACTAACAATACTTATGGTCCTTTTGATGAAACCTTAATGGGACTCCACTAAGTTTTTATGCCCCCACAAAGTGGGAGCATATGGCGTTGCACTTGTCCGTCTGTCCGTCCGTCCATACGTCTGTCCGTCCGTACGTCCCGAAATCTTGTGAACGCAACTCCTCTTAAATCGGATGGCAAATTTTGCTTAAACTTACAGGGATGAACAACCTTAATGTGTAGATGGTAGTACAGGGAGGAATTTTTGCTGCCACCAAATTTAACAGAATTATGGCCCTTTGTTGATTTTTTTACTATATACTATGTCGAAATTTTGTGAACGCAACTTCTCTTAAACCGGATGGCAGATTTTGCTTAAACTTACAGGGAAGAACAACCTTAATGTGTAGATGGTAGTAAAGGAAGGAATTTTTGCTGTGACCACATTTAACAGAATTATGGCCCTTTGTTGATTTTTTTCACTATATACCATATAAGGAATTTTTGCTGCAACCAAATTTAACAGAATTATGGCCCTTTGTTAATTTTTAGTTTTCAACTTGTGGCACAATTGTAGTCCAAAAAATATTTGAGTCATAAGATTGACAGAACAGTGGCGTGTGGGGGCATCCGTGTCCTATGGACACATTTCTAGTTTACTTACAGATACAAAATATTAGTGAAAGAATATGAAGTGGAGTGTTTGAAATGATTTAGAATATAAAAAAATACACATGCAAAAACCACATAGCTGGTTTACTACAGTAAACTAAGTTTTGAAAAAGGGAGGTAATTAAATAATTTTGTATTTGTGTTAAACATGTTTTCAAAGATGCTTTAGTGTAGATCTTTACTTACATTATTATTAGATAGTTTTTTAACAGTCTTTTATAGGCTAGTAATTTCTTGGAATCTAACAGTTCTTACATAGTTAAATTTCACTGACAAAAATTAGTAATAAAAAATGTGCCGATTGGTCTGTTACGGCTGATGCTAAAGCGTTGATGTTAAACTTTTCTATAACTTTTTATTCATGTAACTTACTCTGATTAAACGCAAAGCGTGAACATTACATCAAATAAAGACTTAATTGCATTACTTTATTGACGTTTTTCATGCTATTACAAACAAAGGCAAACCATAATGGAGTGCTATTTCTGCAGAAAAAAGGAAATATTATCTGTCATCAAAGGAAATAATGAAATGTAATTACAATTGTTCTTCAGTCATGGGAGTCAGTCAAAAACGTCTGATATTTCATGCAAAAAAATGTACAAAGAATAACAGAATCGGTCTTATTTATGAGATCTGAGGAATTTTATGGCTTTCCTTGCACACACAATAGAAATAAGTATAGAAGTAGTCGATATAGCATATGCCTAGAAAGGTTCTCTACACAAGAACCCTTTTGATGCCAACATAAATGTATAATCACAAAATGGATTACCTGCCGCAATAGTGGTCTTGGATTTTCATTTTTGAGCGGTGGTCACCACACATTAATTTTTTTATCTGGATAAAGAACAACAGTATAATGCCATTCCTCTCATTGATTTATGTTGGAGAAATTGGCAGTTACTATCTTAGTAAAACTGATTAGCATCGGTACAAAATTCTAGGAACACTCCTTATGTCGTTACTTATCTATTTATGATTATAAAACTAGCAATGTACTCAAACAATAAAAAAGAAAAACCCTGAAAGATCAAGTCTGCCCACATGAAGTAGAAATTGAAATAAATGAAGATAATGAAAATAGGAACAACAAAAGAAAAACATTGTGAATGGTTAGTATAAACAGAGTTAGTTTCTAATGAGATCTATATGTAGCACAAATGAATTACTCTATACATTTACATTTTTTGATGTGGCTTAATTAAAGTGAATTGGTCTATAATGGAAATGTTAGATACCATATATACTTATTTTGGTAGTGAAATTAGAATCATATATGACAACTCAACACGAAAAAATTATCTATGATATTGGTGGTGAGAATTACATGATTCGATATGTCATACATGTACATATATATAGCAGATAGTATATTGTTCTAGAACAAACTATTATTGTCAAAAGTATAGTTGTTCATACAAAATCACTACCATATGAAACATACATGCCATATTTCCAGCCACCCAGATAGGGGAAAAGCAGGGGATTTGGACCAAATTTTGTCAAAATAACTTTTCCAGCATTACTTTTGTAAGAAATGTATTATATGAGTAACAAAATGATACATTTCTATTGTTTTAAACTTTTTGAAAGTGTGCCCATTGTAACCCAGTTGTTATGGCAAAATGTGCTTATTTTAGACCAATTCACTTTCTTTGAATGCAAACCACTAGGTAGGATGCATTACTGTGCAGTCCACTTAAGTCTGATTCATTTAGACTTTTGTCTTGAATTAGTCATGGCCAGGGACATCACTGATTTTTTATACTATGAGACTAGAAATAATTTTTCAAGATTTTTATACTATTCCATGTGGGTCTGAGTTCTATAGCAATATAACTTGTGTGCAAAATTTCAGATCATTCACTCACTCCATTTTGCAAAATTATCATTTTTATAGTACAAACTGACTTAAAAATGGGGGAAAAAATTACTTTTAGCACAAGTCAGCCTAAGTATAGCATTTAACATCAATTTTTAATTTAATTCTGTGTCTATATCTCTATCATCTATATCATATTTTTCAGTTTTACGTGCCTCATGATGTAAGATTTACAAAATTAATGCTTTTAGGATTTTGTCCTTTAAAACATGTTCAAATTTATATCACAAATTTAATTAGGGACGGGTTAAAGAAGTATAGGAGAGATAGTAAAGTTTTGAGAAAAATAAAGTCATTCTCATTCAAGTGACAACTATTCTGGTTTTATCATTTTATACACATGGACCTTCCTCTTTAATAATATTTTTTAAGTACATGTACATGTACTGTTAAGTGTAACTGTAATTATGTATACCCTTTTAAATATTGGCTAAATTTGGAATATATAATTCACTATTATGTCTTTGTTCGACCCAAAAAAATTCATTATGTATTGAACAATGAGTTTTGCCAATGCGATTATTTTTTTCAAGGTCAGGAAAAGATAATTGTAATGACCTTTTATATATTTATTGTATATAAAACATTCTATTTAAATGTGAGGGCTTAATTGTAAAGAAAATTTGAGATGAAGTTTATAATGAATGGCTGTAATACAATATACTGTATGTACTGAAATGTTGTGGCAACAATTTAAATAGAAATAGGATGTTAAAATATATACATGTGCATATATAGCTCTTTTATTATGACCTGTGTGTTTTCACCTGTCTTGGATTACACAAATTTGCCATTGTGTTGTGGGGAATATAATTGGTGACTGAAAAACTTGTGTATATGAAAATCAGTTGGTTTATGAAGTGATTCTTTTTTTTTTTTTGGAGATTTTTATGTGATTGTAGACTGGTTTATTAGTTACAGTAATATATGATTTAGGAGTTGATAAGATAGTGCTTTTAGTGTTAGAAGGATTATTTTCCTATTGGAGGCAGAAGAATTGATGTTTTTACTAATAACAGTTTCAATGCCCTCTTATTTTCTTTGCTCTAGCCAGCTGACATTGCATAGGTACATACCCTGAATCAGGTTAGACAGCTGGATGAGTGGATACTGATGACCTTCATCAATCAATCATAAATTTTATCCCTTATGACCACCCTATGGCAGTACTTAAGAATGGCGGAGATATAACCAAAGATTTTACTTCCCTGCTGTCCCTGCACTGCTGAGAGATATAACCAAAGACTTTACTTCCCTGCTGTCCCTGCACTGCTTAGAGAGATATAACCAAAGATGTTACTTCCTTGCTGTCCCTGCCCTGCCCTACTGAGAGATATAACCAAAGATTTTACTTCCCCGCTGTCCCTGATTGCTGAGAGATATAAACAAAGATTTAAATTTCCCACTGCCCCTGCACTGCTGAGAGATATAACCAAAGATTTTACTTCCCTACTGTCCCTGCACTGCGGAGAGATATTACCAAAGATGTTACTTCCCTGCTGTCCCTGAACTGCTGAGAGATAAAACCAAAGATGTTACTTTCCAACTGTCCCTGCACTGCTGATAGATATAACCAAAGATGTTACTTTCCTGCTGTCCCTGCACTGCTGATAGATATAACCAAAGATGTTGCTTTCCCACTGTCCCTGCACTGCTGATCGATAAAACCAAAGATTTTACTTCCCCGCTTTCCCTGCACTGCTGAGAGATATAACCAAAGACTTTACTTCCCTGCTGACCCTGCACTGCTGATAAATAAAACCAAAGATTTTACTTCCCCGCTGTCCCTGCACTGCTGAGAGATATAACCAAAGACTTTACTTCCCACTGTCCCTGCACTGCTGATAGATAAAACCAAAGATTTTACTTCCCCGCTGTCCCTGCACTGCTGAGAGATATAACCAAAGATGTTGCTTTCCCACTGTCCCTGCACTGCTGAGAGATATTACCAAAGATTTCACTTCCTCGCTGTCCCTGCACTGCTGAGAAATATAACCAAAGACTTTACTTCCCCGCTGTCCCTGCACTGCTGAGAGATATAACCAAAGATGTTACGTCCCCGCTGTCCCTGCACTGCTGAGAGATATAACCAAAGACTTTACTTCCCTGCTGTCCCTGCACTGCTGAGAGATATAACCAAAGATTTTACTTCCCCGCTGTCCCTGAACTGCTGAGAGATATGGAAAGATGTTACTTCCCCGCTGTCCCTGCACTGTTGGGAGATATAACCAAAGACTTTATTTCCCCGCTGTCCCTGCACTGCTGAGAGATATAACCAAAGATTTTACTTCCCTGCTGTCCCTGCACTGCTGAGAGATATAACCAAAGACTTTACTTCCCCGCTGTCCCTGCACTGCTGAGAGATATAACCAAAGATTTTACTTCCCTACTGTCCCTGCACTGCTGATAGATAAAACCAAAGATTTTACTTTCCCACTATCCCTGCACTGCTGAGAGCTATAACCAAAGATTTTACTTCCCTGCTGTCCCTGCACTGCTGAGAGATATGACCAAAGACTTTACTTCCCCGCTGTCCCTGCACTGCTGATAGATATAACTAAAGATTTTACTTCCCCACTATTCCTGCACTGCTGAGAGATATAACCAAAGATTTTTCTTCCCCACTGTCCCTGCACTGCTGATAGATATAACTAAAGATTTTACTTCCCCACTATCCCTGCACTGCTGAGAGACATAACCAAAGATTTTACTTCCCTACTGTCCCTGCACTGCTGATAGATATAACTAAAGATTTTACTTCCCCACTATCCCTGCACTGCTGAGAGATATAACCAAAGATTTTAATTCCCTACTGTCCCTGCACTGCTGGGAGATATAACCAAAGATTTTACTTCCCTACTGTCCCTGCACTGCTGAGAGATATAACCAAAGATTTTACTTCCCTGCTGTCCCTGCACTGCTGATAGATATAACTAAAGATTTTACTTCCCCACTATCCCTGCACTGCTGAGAGATATAACCAAAGATTTTACTTCCCTACTGTCCCTGCACTGCTGGGAGATATAACCAAAGACTTTACTTCCCTGCTGTCCCTGCACTGCAGAGAGATATAACCAAAGACTTTACTTCCCCACTGTCCCTGCACTGCTGAGAGATATAACCAAAGATTTTACTTCCCTGCTGTCCCTGCACTGCTGAGAGATATAACCAAAGATTTTACTTCCCTGCTGTCCCTGCACTGCTGAGAGATATAACCAAAGATTTTACTTCCCCGCTGTCCCTGCAACGTTCGAACAATAGAATGGTTTTGTTTTGACCCCAAAATATTTTATCTACACAACTCGCAGTGTGAGGGAATTTAAGCTACACAGGCTGTTACCATAGGGTTTGAATTTTCAAAAGTCAATGTCCGTGCTATTCCCCTTAGGGTGAAGAAACTTATGGTGGCTATGATGCATTGATTGGTGCGTTAGTACTTATAATAGGATTTGTTCAATACATCATGTAATACTTAATACTTCTAAACATTTTTACTTTTAGTATTTGTGCAAAACTCGCACAAATACTAATAAAGAGTGTAATGCAGTATTTATGAGATTGTACTTTTCAACTTGTATTTATCTTGGTGCATTTGAAGCAGGTTTATGGTGTAATGCTTATGGATTTTATTTATTTATATGACTATAATTTTGACTATAATTTGTGCATGCAGAGGCATTTTAGGTAGGATTTAATACTAGTATGCAATATCTGGATATTTTTCTGAAAATATTTCATATGTCTGTTTTAGTTGTAATATTTTCTTGTAACATTTTTAGCACTCGTGACTGATGATCAAACCTTTGTTATAAGGAATTACCTTTACCAGAAAATTTCATAAAATGTTGGATGTTCATATATAAAAAGAAACTGACACTGCAAAATGTAATAATAAGAAATATAGAAAGACAAATGACATTTTATACACAGAAATTGCAGCAGACGTAAATTTAGATATATCTCACGGAAAGAAGTACTTTGCCCGTTGCTGTTACAGTAATGTGAGATAAGTCAACAAAATGTGATATTCAGAAATTATTGAATATGGAAATTTGACTGGTTTCCCGAGGAATTAATGTCGCAACTATATTGTTTAGCTTGCTATAATGGTGTTTCATAAAGTTTTTGTATCAGGTAAAGTAGTTTTCGATATTTCTACACAAATACAAATATACATGTATTACTGTATTTTTTAAAATAAATGCACTGTGACGGAAATTCCCCCCCCCCCCATTTATCATTTTATCAAATTATTCATGTAATTTTAAATTTAGAACATAGGTTATCAGGGTCTCACTTATTTTTGGAAAAAGACAGCTTAAAGAGATAGGTATGAAGGAAGCTGATCCCATTTTATTTTTATTACCGTTAGATTATTAACGGTATATAAACTTGTATATAGCTCTGTGCTTTAGATTATTACCATTTGAAAAGAATTTAAATGTACATTTCATAAAATTCAATTCTGTTTATTAGAACGACTGCTATGCAAAAATGAATGTGCATACAATGCAAATGTTGTTTATAATTATGGTTTTCAAGAGATGTATGCAAATGCAGTTGGTATTGTCTCATTTAAAAGCCACTTGAGGGAGAAATTCATGCAACATAGTAAAATATGAGAAAACATCACTCAGCTAGTTTATGTTTGCATCCTATTTGAAGTGTTAGTCTCTAATTTGTGCTGAAACTCAGCCTAATGACTTTGACATCTATGATTTTTTCCCATCTTACAAACTTTCTTGCTAATGCTTGACCATTATGCCTATTTGTAAACTGTCAGACAGAAAATTTATCACTTAGTCGCTACCAGTGGTTTTGGTGACTCATTTTTTACTGTTAATATCAGAAAACATCTTCCAGTTCTAGGTGAACTCCTTAAAAAATAATATTAACATGTTTGGGAGCTTCAAAATCCCATACTGAATTCTGAAGCTCTTAAAGTGTTCAACTATTTTATCTTAAAATCTTCTGTCCCCTTTTTAAGGATCCAGGTATGCAAGTTATTAAACACAATAAAGACAAAACATTAAACACCTAATTGTTCCATATATAGTATACATTTTTATCACATAAACCGCGACGCAGGAAGATAATAAATGCATTTAATAAAAACGATATTACACTAGTGTAATAACACTTTGACGTGATGTAATTTGTGTAGCGTTAAAGCGCGCTAATGTGCTAATGTTAACGTTACACTATAGGCGCGACATTGAAAAATTACTCATTTTAACAGTTTACTGTTCTTATTTTATATATGTGATAAGACCGCCTCTGTGGTGAGGGGTTAGAGTCTATGACTTCTAATCCAGTAACCTCTCTGGCGTGTGTTCGATCCCCGGAAGATGCTTTGGTATTTTAGCATGGAGGAAGGTAGTCTAGTACTGGTGTAACTATTCAGGAACGATGGTTAGGAAACTACCCGCCTATATGACTGAAATACTGTTGGGAAAAGGCGTAAAATCAAACAAACAAACAAACATATATGTGATAAATAGAATATTATATTCGTGTAGATTCAATACTAAATTTATTGAGCTCATTGAATAAAACAATATTATGCTCGCCAGAGGCTTGCATAATATGATTTTATTTAACTTGTTCAATAAATTTAGTATTAAACTACACTCATTCAATATCCTCTATATTTCAATACTAAGAGGATATTTTTTCGTTTGAGTGAAATATGGAATATATTTTCACGAAACATGATAAAATGCCACATATTTTCACGAGCCGGGACGGCGAGTGGAAACATGTGGCATTTTATCATGTTGAGTGAAAATATATACCATATTTCACGAAAAACGAAAAAATAACCTTTTTATTTAATTTCAATATCAAAGAAAAATGGTTACGAACCCCCTTGCTTGCTACGCAACTGCAATTGTACAGCGAGCAGTAATATAATAATTGTCTTGTTTTGCACGTGATATTTAGTGCTACATTGTGACGTCACGTAAACAACTCTTCAAACGTCTGTACAGCGTTAATGACTGAATTAAAGATATTGGTGTTCGGATTTATTTTCTTAGTTAGACCGTTTTCTATCATTCTAGATAGTTTTCAAAACAAAATTCGACAAAAATTTGTTATGAATTTTCAGATTTTTCAAACAAAATGGCGAAAGAAGTCCCGTAAAATAAATATGAGTTTTGACTCCTCCCACTTTCATATTTATATTTCATATTTATTTTTAAAAAATATGAAATATATTTGACTGATATAGCACCATATTTCATGGGTAAAATTAAATAAAGTTCAACATATGATGTTCCACATAATTATGTTCTTCCACATTTTGATTCCAGCCATAAATTTTCATACCTTTTGTTAGTATGCCTCGTGGCACTTTATACTATAAAATGTTGCATTATATATTTTCAGTACCATCAGAAGCAGTTGCATTTCTAGGTGCTGTAGGAGCCTTCCTCCTAATTCTGATTATCTTCTTCCTGTACCTAAACAAGGCCCTCTGTTTCTCCTCCTGTGGTGGCTTCCCTTGTCTTGATAATAAACCAAAGAAAAAAGAATCCAGGGCCAGAGGGTTAGGTAAGTAAAATCTTATTGAAAACATATTTATTGTCACCTTAGTGCAATAACGGGTTAACTTCTATTAAATCATTTAAGGAGTTAACGAGTTACTGCACTAAGGTGACGTTAGGTTGTATTTAACACATATCCTGCTAAAATTTCAACGATGGTATCTATTTTCCATTTTGGAGCTGGCCCTTACTAGTATTAACTGTTAGAAAGTTAGTCAGCCAATGGTATAGAGCCTCACCAGACTACATGAATGTGTAGGCTAGCCTGGCTCCATGCAAGTGGCTAGGATGACTCACTTTATAATACACCAAGGTAATGTTAAAGGTTCATTGTCAGTCTCTTTAAATTCAGCTTCCATGACTTGACTAGCCAGTACAGACGTTGTATGAGGTATAATGGTTTTGACCCCAGTTGGGCTTGAACTGATTATCCCTAGGTTTGAATCCCTAGACTACCATCAATTGTTGAATTATGATTTTTTTCAGAAATTATTATTTGTGTAGTGCAAATAATAGGACATTTAGAACAGATACATATTTTCTTTTGAGTGTACAGAAATAAAAATGTCAGATCATATTTTAATTCTGAAATGAGCCGCAGCACAACAAAACCAACATAGCGCGTTTGCGACCAGCATGGATCCAGACCAGCCTGCGCATTTGCGCAGTCTGATCAGGATCCATGCTGTGCGCTATCAGTTTCTCTACTTGTAAAAGGGTTGGTAAGCGAACAGCATGGATCCTGATCAGACTGCGTTAATGCGCAGGCTGGTCTGGATCTATGCTGGTCGCAAACGCACTATGTTGGTTTTGTTGTGACGCGGCTCAAATAAAGAAATCTCTCTGGAGCCATATACAATTACTAATTTAAAGTGGAAATTGAAGACTTGCCTTGATGAAATCTGTTCTTTAGTTGTAGATGTATAACCAGGGAGATATTTCAATACTTCAGCCAATTACACAGAAACCCCTTTAACCTGTATCACCCTTAATATCTTAAATGGAATCATCCAACTTTCAATTTAGACAAAACCATTCAACATTTTTAGGGAAAATTTCAAAATATATACTGACTGAATAGTGAATAGTGCAGACCATGATCAAATGGCATAGATGTGCTGGCTGATCTTTGTCTGCACTGAAGGCATGGATTGTTGGTGTTTTCAATTTGTCATTATGTACAGATCAGAGGACTTACCAAAGTCTGATCACTTTTGAAGACAAAAAATGAGTGATAGAAGAACAAACACAAATATCATACTCTATTTGCATGTAATGTGCATAGTTCCTTGTGTAAGTTTTGTTTATTACGGTCTTTTGACAGGATATGATGAAGATGTAAACAAATTGCTTAAGATAACATAGAATTGAAATAATTATGTTCTTTTCAACCTATTCCATAGACAGCTGTCTGGTTCCATTAAGGAAATTATTCTGAAGTGAGAAAACAATATTTTCCGATTTTTTTGTTGTTGAGAATATAACACAAGTCAGGCTACAAGTTTTTATTATGCCCTTTTGACATTTAAGATATATGTTAATTAGAGGCTGTCATTAAACAGCAGACGACAGGTTACAGAATACTGTTACAGCTTTTATTTTTACTTGTCTTCCTTCATTAAAAATTCACGATGTTTGTCACATTTCTTATGCTTGCCTATCTTGGTACTGTGCTTCAAACTCTTGTATTAATTAGTGATGATTATATCCTTGAGTACGGTGAGTTCTGATTTCTTGATGAATTAAGCTTTATCAGCAAGTCTAGTTCTAGTAATTGTTTGAGTTTGAGCATTCATCATGTCTTGCTAGATAGGTTTTTGGGCAGCTTTGACTAGATAGATTTTGGGTCAACTTTAATATTAAGTCTTGTTCAGACTATAAGGATCTTACAATTGCTACTGGTACAGACCGGAATATCTAGCTTGAGGGTAACTGTTTACAGCAGTAAAGAGGCTGTGTTTCCGCTAAACAGTTACCTGAGAGCTAGATATTCCCGTCTGTGACAACAGCTTGTGTTTTATTCTTTTCTTGCATATCAAATATTAATAATGTTTCGGAAAAAAATTATGAAAAGTAATATTTTCATGTAGCACATTTTTCTTTTAGTAGCATAATTATGATTTTACAACATCATTCATAACAGAAAAATTACATCATTCTAAGAACACAATTCATAAAAAGCACTTGAGAATGTCGTCATTTAAAGCATATTACTTGTCTTACACAAGTTTGAGGGGGCTGTAAATTACATCATTCCAAGAACACAATTCATAAAAGGCACTTGAGAATGTCGTCATTTAAAGCATATTACTTGTCTTACACAAGTTTGAGGGGGCTGTAAGACAGATTTTTCTAGCACCGGAAACAGCAGATAATCCTGTCTGATATGAAAGAAATTAAGTTTTATCATATCATTTGTTTAAGCTTAAACATTGAGCCTGTCAAATTAAGCTCTAACATTTTGAGTTGAATTAAGCTCTAACATTTTTAGTTGAGCCATATTAGCAGCATTAGGAAATAGATATCAATTTTGAGTGCATTGTTGTAGCATAATGCATGGTTAGGTTAATATGCACAGGAATATAATCATGAAGACCAATATGCCTGAGTGAATAATAACAAAGCATTTGAACAATAAACCATGCATTATACAACAATGCAAGAAAAATTAATATAATTAATATAATTTCTTTCTGACATGCTAATAAACAAGAAAAATATTACATACATACATTTGTAATAGTAAAGGTACGAGACAATTGCATACTAAATTTCTGTGAAGACTTTATGAAAGGTGTAATGTAAAATGAACAAATATGTCATCAGATATTTAATATCTTTAAACATTTTCTAATATATATAATATATTGTCTTATACTAAATAAATAGACAGTTCCAAATCAGTTACATGACAAAGCTTTAAGTTTGGAACTCTAATTTCTAAACAAGAGCGATCAGTAATCACATGTGTCGCCTCATGATGGCCAATTTCATGTTGGGACAAATTTTGTGACAGACGGACAGACAGACGGACAGTGCACAACTAGACTTGGTACTGATCATTCCTGTAAAGTTTGGATAAAATTGCACCAGTAGTTTATGAGGAGTAGTCCGGACAAGCTTTTGCATATCTGGCAACACACAGAAAAAAACACCTTTTTATCAAAGGGCCATAACTCGGCCAAAAATCATTCAACCGGAAAACCCGTGCAATATGCGCAAGGACTTGAGCTACAGATCAATCCTGTAAAGTTTCATTGAAATTGCATTAGTGGTATAAGAGAAGTAGTCCGGACAAACTTTAAAATAAAAATTATTAAAGGGCCATAACTCTGACAAAAATCATTGAACCGGAAAATGCTGACAATATGCACAACTAGACTTGGTACTGATCATTCCTGTAAAGTTTGGATGAAATTGCACCAGTAGTTTATGAGGAGTAGTCCGGACAAGTTTTGTGACGGACGGACGGACAGACAGACAGACGGACAGACGACGGAGAAGTGATCCCTATATGTCGCCACTACTCCGTAGAGGCGACACAAAAACTGACAGCTCTCCTTTTAGAAACTATTTTAAAGGTTTCTAGATTTGTCTTAAAGGTGCTTATAATACAGTTATTGTGAGCTTTTTCAGTTGATTAATTTTCCTGGGTTTGACATCAGGCATGTATCTGACATTCAGTGATAATAAAATGATTAAGGATTGGTGTAAGATGTTTGTATATGTTAGTATGATAATATGTCATAGAATATTATATAACAGTTTAGCAAACATTGTTTTCTCACTGAAGATCATCAATTGTCTTTTCAACTTGTGTATTTTGATATGAATCTTGAAATCTAAATTTATATCTGTGCCAATATTGTAAGAACATTTGGGGTTATTTTGAATATCTTTTAAACTAAACATAACTTAATCTAGCAAGTAGGAAATATTCATCTATATAATTCATTAATGACAAACTCTCTCAATTAACATAAATGAAACTTAATGGATCCAGACACTAGAACTGTTCTTAAAAAAATATCTTTATATTTAGTGAAAGCCTTCACTGTGACTTTCTTTCAATTTTAACACCCCTTTCTTGAAAATGAGTTGAAATTTATTATTGCAATTCAATAATAAAAACAAATCCCCATATGATATAAAAGAAGGGAGATTATTTATTCATTTGAACTTGTTACCTACACAGTTTGCTCCCTTGCTTATGAATGATTTAGACAAACTTTGGCATATTATGCTTTTTCTGTCATTTGCAGATATTGCTCTATTTTTAATCATTGTAACAACTTTGTATAATTGCATTGATTTTCCACCATCACCCTCCTCGGGCTGTAGTTATATCAATTATCCGAACAACAAAACCACGCTTATCTTGTGAAAATTTCAAAATATTGTGGATTTTGAATATTGACAAATTTTCTGACATCGCTTTCCCATTGGGCAGGTGTTTTATTGCATTAATGCCAGATTTCGTCAATATTTCCCCTCAAAATTTTGAAGTATTAACAAGAGTTTAGGACATGCCATGCCATTCATGTTAGTTTTATGAATAGATATAATTAGGACTTGGAAATAGGATGACAACAAGAGGTGAGTCATTTGAATAAATCCAATACAAATAATGCCAGTTTACTTGTTAAGCATGGCACTGTATTCTGTGGCTTTGTGACCCAATAATTTCCTATTAAATAATGCATATTTATCAATTGATTCAACAATCCTCTAGCAGATTTAACAGATCAAAACAATAGTGTCTAGAAATACATGTATTTTATGTAAGCTTAGCTTTAAATTTGTTTCAAAATGAAAATCACTGTAGTTAAACTATTAAAGCTGAAAATTATCTTAAAAGAAAAAACAGACACATATCTCATGGTGGATTGGGAAAAGGAGGAGAAAATAAATTACAAATGTAAAGTCTCAGAAATGATGTATTTATTTCAACAAAATTACATCACCTTTTGACTTGAAAATGTCATAAAGTTTACATCATCATTAAATTCAGAATATCTCTGACATTA